GAAAAAAAAGTCAGACCCAATCCCACCATGTCCCTCAGATGACACCCCCTAGGTGTGACCTCCTTCTTTATGATTGTGGGTTTCTGAGGAAAGAAAATACCGGCCTGCAGCTGGTGTTAGCAGCCGCACTGAACAAACTGATGAGCTAAGGCACGAAGGAATCCACAAATATCATGAAAATTAGACCCTATCCCTTGAAAAAGGATCAACCGCGAATGACTTTAAAGCATTTGCCACTTAAAAACCTTTTAGCTGGGCCCATTTTGAATTATGACTACATGATTTTAAATTACACTTTCTAATTCCTTGCCGCCCACCCCCCCAGCAGTTGCTGCCGCTTCATTTTCCAATTATGTACTTTCATTTCAGAATGATGAAAAGTGCTACTTACTGGCTCATGTCCTGTCTGCCACAAATAGCTGCTCACTTATTCCTTTAATTTTAGATCTGAGCGCAGTCAGTTCACCCGGCCGGTCTTCAAATTCTGAATATCTTCCATTCCTGTAGCACCGAACGAGGCCCAAGACTCAAACCCACAAGCCCGAGCTGAGAAACATGTTTGTAAACCAGTGCCCTGCTCCACAAATTATTATAATTCTTGGTGCCTTCTATATCCATCTAGCAGATCAGCAATCACATAAATAATAGTGAATGGAACAATTTTTCTTCTGAAAAGTGCTATGTCCTAGTTTTCGAAATAAAGCATTTGGAGATACACATATCTGTGGAGTTGAAATGGGAAGCTGCTCAGATCCGTTTCAAACATGCACGTAGACATACCCACACACAAAAGGAAACGAGGTAAATGTGTAAAAACAGCATACTGCATCCCCTTCCCACATCCACATCAAGTCACACTCAACAGTAGTGGGGGTTTGGGACACACATGGTTGTGGGGAGGAAGGAAGGGGGGGGCCCCGGTTGCTCAGCACTCAAATACAATTTGCAAAGAAAGTGAGTGCAGATTTACAGTTCGCATGGAAATCTATTAAACAGATGTCACTGAAGCATAATCAAATCGGCACTATGGTAATTCTACACTTAAGTCTGAGATTGGGGTTTTGCCATCTTTATGATCAGTTTAAGTATATTTTTTGTGATCATGCAAGAATTTGCAACTAAGGATTAAGCCTTAAAGTATAATCAATTAACTAATGTGTCTGAATGGGAAACTTACAAAAGCAGAACTGGTTCTCCCCACCCAACACACACACACACACACCAGTGGTGTGTAGGGAGCCTGGGGTGGCGGAGGGAGCATTTGCCTTTTCCATGAACACTGCAACAGCAAACGCGCTTCCTGAGGCGGGGGAAGAAGGCAGGATGAGGGGAAGGACTCACACCTTTCAGGTAGCCTGTGCAATATATTTTGCAGCCTTGCAGGCTGCAGTACTGTCAGAAAATGCAAAAAAATGAAATGAAGGGAAACCACGGGTGTGCTGGAAATTGGAAGCAGGAATCATTTTCTCCTTCAAGTGATGAAATTAGCATGGGTGATGCCAAAAGTCTTTTCATGTGCATCAACGCTGAGCCTCCATCCTTCTGGGAAGGAAGGGATGGAAATGTGAAGATTTGCAACAGTAGCAATTCTCAGTTGTGGACGGGGACAGTGGAGCAAAGGACCTACTCAATCCCTGGCTCTGAACTCGACGGGAATCACAAGCAACCCAAGGGGAGACTCCTTTTTTTTTTTGTAGCTGCTTCTATTTATGATGTATGACCAAATTGTGACATTACGTTCCAAGAAAACCCCCAAAGAGTAATTCGCAGAAAGGCAGGAAAAGACCAAAGAACATCTCAAGTTACTGAGTTCAAAATGCAAACACAGAGCCTCCGTTTGTTAAGATTTGTCTCATGGCTTTAGGGTGCCCGCATCAGCCACCGATATTTTAAATGGAGATAACACATAACTAAGTCTTGTCTCATTAAGAAAAAAAAAGTCAGAATTAAGTAAAACATTTGTTTTGGCAACAGAATCGCCAGGTCACCAGGGAGAGCCCCACTGCATCAAATTAACCCAGGAACGTTTATAACCGTCCTTCCAACACCATCTCCAAAAAAGCGGTCTCTTTTTCTTTCCTCTGGGGCTGTTTTGCTCTTTACATTTTGGGCACTTCTTCAGACCCAAGTCAAATAATTTCAGGGGCAGTTGGGAGAGGATGACTGGTGGCCTCGTTCCATAGGGACATGCACCCCAGAAACCACAGCTGCAAGGAATTGCTCTCAGAGTGAACCTCACTCCCTTCTGCCCATCTCCTTGCCCCATGAGTGTCCGGTGCATCTGCTCCCAGAAGGTGAGAGGTTTGGACACATGGACGCCCCCACTAGCAACCTTCTTTCGCGTGAGAGGCCACTCTCTGCGACCATGGACCCAGAACAAGCCTAAGAACTCATCCCCGGGCTCCTGCACCTGGGAAGCCCCTTTCCCCAAGGTCCCTCGCTCCAGAGGTATAAGCAGACAAAGGTACCAGTTGCTGAAAGGAGAGATCTCAGGGAGAAGAATGGAGGGGGGATGGAATGCTTGAAAAGACCCTTTTTCTGTTCCCAGTGAGGGAGGGGCAATGGGAGAGACATGTCACATTGTCACATTAAAGATTTTGACAGACAATTCAGGGATAACGCAGAAATCCCACCCTTAACTGCAGCTCACTGCAACTTGAAAGGCATTAACTAACCTCCACTAATTGCATGTTTCTCTGTGCATAATAGTTACTTGTTAAAAGTCTTTGCCTGGCCGGTTCATTTCCTCTGAACTCATGATCAGTTCACAGACCTGAAATTGGAAAAATGAAATAATTTTGATAGATTCAAAGACGATTGCACTTTGGGGAGGGTTCTCTGTTTTCCACTAGTCTGGAACCCACACCGAAAATACTGATTTTCCTTCTTGAGGGTTACCCCTCAGTGCAATCCCGCTGCCATCCTTAATTCCTCAGACAAGTGCAGAAAGAGGTGTCCTGTGTTAGGTGAGAATGCAAGGGGACATCGCTGCCGGCAAGGGAATGTAACAAGTTCAAGGGAAAACAAATGCACTCAAATTATTTTCCTCAGAAGATTTAATAGTCTCATGGGTGGACTGGGAAATTTTTAAAAAGCAGGCTTTTGTTGAATAGCATCTGAGATGTCAGTCTATGCATTCCTGATACAGAGTAGAGTAGAAAGCTCCAAAGCCCTGGTCTTTCACCTAAACTTATACTTGTTCTATCTGTCCCTAAACACAGCCCACAGGGCATCAGCTGGGGGTGGGGGGTTTGCGTGATCCTGGGTGCACACACGGCAGTTAGAATCTGAGCTATGGCCTCCCACATGCAGGGAACACTCCGAGCCTACCCACATCGACGTTAGAGAGCACCTACTTCAATCCAGGTCTTTTGAAATTCCTGGGGCCAAAAATAAATAGGAAGGCAGCCCCACATTGAAGCACTTCTGATGCATGGTTAAACCTCTGTAACTGGATTATCACCTTTTAACTAGCCATCAGCCAGTCAATATACCTACATGGAGTGAGCACTCAAGGAGATGTAACCATTTAGCAGAAACCCATCTTGAGAGAAAAGATTTTACAAGTGTTGCGGGGCTGCCACTGGGAGAGCCAATTTGCAGGGAGCCGAGCATCGTGAAGCAGTTACTATGCATGGCTCCCACACCTTGGTCCCCCCTACACTGTGCCCGACTCCAGAATGCCTTCCGATCACCAGCGGCTGTCTCCCCAGCCCCAGAAGCCTGCCTCAGCCCAGCTAATTCTACCCTCTCTCCAAATGGTGTCCTAGTGGGTTGGCTCCTGTGGACCAAGGCCTGTTTTCCAACTTCCATGTGGCAGTCAGCCCGTGGCCTCTCCGACATCCCCCAAAGCATTTTAGCTGATGTGACAAATTATTCATGAGGTTGGTTTAATTCTTTTTTTTTTTTGAAAGACCAGTGAGGGTATTGATGATGGCAGTGTCTGCTGAAGCCCCCCAGCATAACTGATCCCCGCTAACAAGTCTCCCACCACCATTCAAGTCCTGTCAAGCCAGCTCAGCCATTCACCAGCCAGCCCACTTTTGTTCCCTGGTTTAATTTCATAATTGTTTGTCACTTAACAAGCTCTCCTCTGGGCCATTCAATAGGGGCCTTGGAAATGGGGAGGGGAGGCATCCAAGCTCCTGGAGGAGAGTTGGAAGAGGTCCGACCCTCAGAGAAAGACGTCCCAGAGAGGTCAGCTGGGCCGACTGGGGCCAGTGCCAGGGTGGGGCCTCCTGCCCCAGTGGATGGAAGGGGGCGGTGGGCCATGGGTCAAGGACTCCAAACTGGGGCTGCCCCAGACTCCTAGATACATCAGCTCTCAAACTGACCCTCCTCTGTCCCCAACTGGGTCAAGGGAGGCTGTGCACAAATAAACACACAAGAGACAAAACTGCTCCTTAGTATGAGCATTCCATGAAATACTGCCTTGAGGACTGGAACCTGCCTGATTAGCCACTGAAACCCCTGTGCCAGGCACACAGCAGACAGTAATAAATATGTGTGGAATGAGTGAGTGGGTGGGTGGGTGGATGGATGGATGGATGGATGGATGGATGGAGTTTCCAGCAATACCTAGCAAAAGCGGCCACTAGACCAGCATTAGTCGCCCAGCTCCTTTGCCCCCAAGTACCAGCGGGGCCTCCACTGCACACAGTAGGCTCTCAACGACCAGGGGCTGCTCCACCAGTCTGCTTCTTCCACCAGCAACTCCGCCCGCAGCCAGCAGCGGCTGGCGAGCTAGGGAAAAGTTTCGCTGACCCCTTGGCCCCAGTCAGAGTCCTGCGGCCCGGCCGACCCCCCTCCCGGCTGCACCCGCTCAGCCCGCAGGGCAGCGGGGGTGCCCTGTCCAGCGCCAGCACCCAGCAAAGGCAGCCAAAGTAACTTTGCGGGCGCCCGGCGCCGCGCCGCGGATTTCACCCCGTGCCTGCAGAGGGTCCCGGCCGCGCCCGCGCCCGCCGCGCCCCGGCCCGCGCCCCGGCCGCCCCCAGCCCTACCTGGCCCCCGGCTCCTCTTCGGCGGCCGCAGCGGCCGCGAGCAGCAGCGCGCTCGGAGGGAGGCAGGGGCCCGGCTCCGGGGAGGGAGGCGCTCGGGGGCGGGGGCACCTCCGGCGGCGGCCGCCTCGCCGCGCGTCCGAGGCAGCAAGTGGGAGCCAGACTCCTCCTTCGGGGGGCGGGGGACAGGGGGCTCCCCGCCCGCCGCGCGGCCCCGAGCCTCCCCGGCTGCCCCGCCCGCCGCCGGCCTCCCCGCCCCTGCCCCCCGCCCCGGCGCCGGTGGGGGCGCGCCCGCGTCCTGGGCTCCCGCGCCCCCGGCCCGCCGGCCAGGCCTCGGCCCTCGGCCCCCGCCCCCCGCCCGGGCCCGGCGCCCGCATCCCGCCGCGGAGGAGCCGGGGGCGGAGGAGCGGGCGCGGCGCGGGGAGGACGAGCCGGCCCTGCTGCGGAACCGGGCGGCTGCCGCCCCTCCGCGCCCCGCGTCCCGCTGCCGCCCGCCCCCCGGCCCCGAGCCCGGCCGCGCCTGGGGTGGGCAGCAGAGGGGCGGGGACGCTCTCACCTCCCGATCCGCGGCCGCCGCGCCTGGCACCGAGTGCTGGGCCGTGCGCGGCTCCTTCCGGGGCGCCGTACCCCTTCCCGCGTGTAAGGGCCCCCTGCCCCAGACCCGTCCTGCTGGGCTCTGAGGACAGCTCCTCCGCTCCCTTTCCCAGCGCCTGGGCCGCATAGGGTCTCCGTGCTGCGCCAACCATCTCTGCCCCCCACCCCCTGGGGATCCCTGTCCCCAATCGCAGGGTACAGTAGGTGGCCAGCAGAGGCCTCACCCGGAGCGGGACAGGTAAGCAGCAGGTCAGGACAGTACAGAGCCTGGCCCCTAGTTTGAAAAAGGCCCTGCCTTACCGGAAAAGGGGAGAGCAACACCCCCAGCCTCCCACCCCCTAGAGTCTGAGAGGCCCCTTATGCCCTCCAGCCCTGATGCCCTTGGACAGCAGGGTCCACAGGGTCTGTAGTCAGGGTACAGGTCATGCATGGCCCTCCCAAACTGCGTGGGAGGTGAGAAGGGTGTGCCGCTCTCAGAGGCCCACCTAAGGGGCCTCAACAAAGGTTTATAGGTTCCTTCCCCCATCAGGTCCCCACCTCCAGGTTCATCATTCTTGTTTCAGCTGGAGTCTTGGGAGACAGGGATGAGGACATGTGGGTGTCTCAGGCCTAGCTTGGCCTTGGGGAGAGCCTAGTCTGTTAGGGAGGCAGTCAAGGACACAGAAGGGAAGAGGGGACAGCCACTTGGTGTGATTCCTGGAGGTAGACACACTCCAGCTGAATAAATGCTTGCCAGGGAAAGGAGGTATGGAAAGGCATTCCAGGCAGAGGGAACAGAGCATGCAAAGGTCTTGGCGTGGCAGCTGCAGTGGGGCTAGAGAAAGAGGAAATGGGGTGGGGGTGGGGATGAAGTGGAAGAGGGAGGGACAGGAACCAGATCAAGAAGGGCCTTGGATGCCTGCCTATGGGGGTAGACTTTTTATCAGGGACAGTGGGGAGCTATGGACAGTTTTGGTCAGGGACATGACTTGGTCCAGTTTATCTTTTTAGAGTTTGTTCGGGTAGCCCTGACAGAGGAGGAGGGGCTACAGAGGAAAAGGGTAGAGGCCTGGGCTGGGGACCTGAGGCCAGACAAGAGGCAGGGGCTGGCCAAGGGGGCCTCAGCTGGGCACCCCTCCTCCTCATCTTTAGACCTCACTTTCACTCCTGCTGGGGCGATTCTGGGGCAGTGAAGAGGCCAGGCTGGAGACACCACCTCAGCCAGGCAAATGGCAAGGATGGGTGAAGCCTGGGTGGTGGGCATAGCATTGGCAGGCCCTGTGCTTCTCCTCAGGAGCAGGGAGCTGCCACGTGACCCCCAAGGAGCAGCCCTGGGCAGTGGGATGGCCAGTGCCTTCACCAACCAGGGAGGTCCCCACAGGATTACTCACTGCCCCACTGGGGCCCACTGACCTTTGCAGACACCCGGCTGGAGTTTGCCTGCCCTGTGGGGGTCAGAGTCCCAAGGCAGGCTCTTCACAAGACAGGAAGGGAGGAGTAAGGGAGCGGTCACCGGGAATTTAAGATAGAAACCCCAGGGAGACACACAGGACTACTGCCAAGACAAGGTTTGGTCAGTGGCCCAAATCCATCATCCACTCAGGTGGCATGTGGGTCATCGTGGCATGTGCCAGACCCTTGCTGGGTAGCTAGGAAGGCAGAGGGCACCCAGATGCAGCCTCTAGCTTCCGGCCATGTCCAGGGACCAGCCTGGACTGAGTGTGAGGAGGGAAGAGAGATGCCGACCCCAGGGGATGGAGCAGGGCTTCCTTCCTGGAAGAGGGCTTGAGGGCTGGTCCTGAGGGTAAGGACAGAATGTGAACCTGGGGGTGAGCCTGCCGGTCATTCCTGACAGAAGGAGCTGCAGATGCCCAGGAGGGGCAGTGTAGGGAAGGCAGGACTGAGTGGACCCCGAGACACTGGAGCACACCACGAGGCGGGTCACATGGGGCTCAGGGTACCACAGGAGCCCCTGAAGACTTGCACATGGGAGCAGGGTTCTGTGGGGTCCTGTGTTCCGGCACCAGGACGAGGCCAATGTCTACTGACTGAGTGAGTCAATGGGCAAACGAAGGATGAGATGCACTGACCCAAACTGCCCTGGGCGTGCAGAGCTCTGCAGCGCCCCCAGCCGAGCTGCCCAGCTCTGTGGAGCACAGAGAAGCACCTGGGCTCAGCAGGGAGCACATTGCCCCTCAGAGCTGAGGCTGCCCAAGCACGTTTCCAAGAGAGCCGATGACGGAAACCATCATGCCTGCCTGGGAGCTGGCTTGTGTCTCAATAGCCAACAGGGTCCACCTGCCCCCTGCCCAGGGCAGAGCCATAGCCTGGCGGTGGCTCAGGAGCCCCTGGAGGACACCGGTTTGGGATAGTAGAGCTTGTGGTCCTGGTCCCTGGTGTGAGAGCAGAGAAGTCCCTGTGACACTTGTCATCTTAGGCCAGCTTCCTTACCACCCCTGATCCCAGCAGCCCTCCTCTCAGCTCCCAGACACATCTCTTACCTTCTGAGGACATGCATTCATTGAGCACCTACTGTATGCCTGTCACTCATCTCTTCCTTTGAAGCAAAGCATGAGCTCCTACCAAAGGGACCTGCCATTACTCGCACCACCCAGTCCTAGGCCCCTACCCTGGTCCAGGCTGCTTCCTGGAGGTCATGCCCCCTCGCCCAGCCCTGGAGCTCAGTAGGTGCCCAGTGACTGGGCCCTGGAAGGCAGGAAATGAGGAGTGTAGGATGGGCGGGGTAAACCCACTCCTAAATGAGCAACCAATCTGGCAAACACAGCAGACATTCTGCTTTTGGAAAAATGTAATAACACAGCAGCACTTGTTCATGGAGACTAACAGAAACACCACACGAGCCCACTACTAACCCAGCCAGGGGTTGGCTCATTTGGCTGGGAAGCATTTCCCAGGAGCCTACTATGTGCTGGAAGCTGGGGGGTGAAGGGGGAAGGGCAGGAGGTCGACAGGCACTCGTGACACCAGGGGGAAGGGCAGCAGCTGCCCAGGGGAAGAAGGGGATGCGTGTACCTCAGAGGAATAAGAATTCACTCTGAGGACAAAGGAAAAGGACAGCCTAGAAGGGGGATCAGCCTATGCGAAGGCTCAGAGTCTCAAAAAAGCATGGTATGATATCCCCTAGTCAGGAAATTCATCTCCTAAGGTGTCCTGAGGAAGTAATTGGAGGGTCTTTATAATAGCTCAATGGGAAACAAACTAAATGTCCAGCCAGAAGACATCAGCTTAAAAGATTACAGCACGTCCAGAAACTTTTAAATAGTTAAATCACGTTGCTGAAATATGATGTGGCAGGAAAATGATGTCTTGGTCAGCACACGCCCCAGGAACTAGCAAAGGAGCTTATACAAGACTACAGCTAATTCTCTGTCTTGAAAAAAGGAAAAGAGAAAGAGGGAGGGAAAAAAGGCAGGAAGTATATACAGCAAAATGTCAGCCTTAGGGATAAGGTTATGGGTGATTTTTTACTTCATTTACTGGACCTTTTCCACCCTCCAGCTTTGCTGTGATCATCAGAATATTGTGATGGATGGAGAGTGGGAGGCATTTGGGGAGTAGTAAGCAGAGTGTGGGGTGTATGCAGGGCAGGGACTGGAATAAAGGGAGACACAGGCAAGACCTGGGTCATGGAGGACTGCTAATGCCTCATCGGCAGAATTACCTTAGGTTTGCAGGCCCTCCGAGGCCACCACAGCGCCTGGGTCATAGCCAGCATGCAGGACGTAGTAATTACTCAGCGGATATTCACTGGGCTCTGACAACATGCCAGGACAGAGGCAGGGGAGACAGAGCGGGGAGGCCTGCGAGGCATTTGTCACTCAAAAACTGGTCTAAGATATGCTGAGGAATGGTGTCCCCTGCCCCAGGCGACTCTGCGCCAGGCTTGCAGTCTCCAGGAGCTGGGCAGAGGCCACACCCAGGGGGACCAGCCATCCCTCGCAGGCTGCCAGAGCCTGGAGGATGCTGTAGCTCACAGCTCTCTGGGGCCGGGGTTAGGAGAGAGCCGGGGGGTAGGGGTATGTGCTCCTGGCACCACTCCCACCACCCCTGAGCCTCCCCTGGTGGATGGCCTGGGCTGCCAGGACCCATGGCCTGGCCCCCATGAGCTGCCTGTGAGCGCTTTATCATTTTTTAAAGAGCTCTTCCAGGTTTCTTGTAGCTGATTTATTTCTCACAGCAGCCCGGCTAGGACCCTCAGCCGGGGCAAACTGCCCTGGGAAAGGAGACCACAAACCCCACGTTACAGATGAGGACACTGACGCTCCAGGAGGTTTGGCGATCTCCCCAGCTAGCACGTGGTAAAGCTGGACTCCAGGCCCATCTTCAGACTCCTGGACACCTGCTCTCCCCTTCCATCCACCCTGCTCCTGCCCTCAAGTGCCAGGCCAGCTCCTTCCCACTCTACTGAAGGTTCCCAGCACATCTCAGGTGCCATCTCAGCACTGCCAGGGGCAGCCGACTCTTCTGAGCTGTCCAGGGTCCTGGCCGGGCCCCGCCCCGCCCACAGCTTTCTCTG